GACACTCCAAGCAGTCTTTAAGTTTCAAGCCATGCCTCAAAAACAAAACGCAACACTATACAACCCTTTACAAACCAACAAACACTTCTCTATGAGTAGTGCTGGGGATCGAACTCAAGGCTTTGCACATGCTAGGCATGTATGTACTTTAGTGCTGAACACTAAGCCCCATTTAGAATGTCTGTTGGCTTGACTTTTTACTGTGAGGCTGTAGTGGCAGCTGTGGTGTGTGCCTTCTCTGTACTGAGGAGTTGCTGTTTCTTAGTCCTATAGCATATATTTCCTTAGAGGTCACCCTGTAACTAGGCAAAAGCAGAGCTGAATGGGCATTCTACTTAAAAGCCTCAAGCCTACAAGGTGTCCTCCACTGCCAACAGATCTGTTTGAAGACTAAGCAATAAAAGTTTCAGCCAGCCAGAGGGGTCAAGGACAAGAGAACATGGCCCACAGACATCAACTAAGCAGGGCTCACAGAGACTGGAGGCCAATCACGAAGCCTACATGAGCCCATGCTAGGTCCTCTGCATATGTGTTATGATTGTTAGCCCTGTGTTTTTATGGGATTCCTAACAATGAAAGTATCTGTCATACCACAGAGTCGTCTCTGAATTTCCTCTGTTCTTGGGATCCCTTTCCTTCTACTGGGTCGCCTCACATAGGCTTGCTGTAAGGATTTGTGCCTAGTCTTGTTGCATCGTGTTATGTGTCTTGTTCAGTGGATATCCTTGGGAGGCCTGTTCTTTTCTTAAGAAAAACAGAGGAGGAACAGTGGATCTGGGAGAGGGAAGGTGGGGAAATGGGAAAATGGAGGTAGGGGAAACTACAGTTAAGTATGGCTGAGAATAACACCTTGAATCTCATCACCCTGGAAGCAGAAGGAGACAGATCTTTGAGGGTTCCAGGTCACTGAGGGCTATACAGTAAGATGCTGTCTCAATTATTTTTTTCAACCAGTTCTCAAGTGTATCTTTGTGTTTTACATTTTCACTAGTCCTCCTAGATACTCTTCATGCGGATATATTGTTGCCCAGCCAGCCACTAGCATGTGAAGAGCTCATTTGTGGCTTTCAATGGCTCTCTCTCTCTCTTTTTTTAAGTATGTGTAGGTATTGTGCTGGCATGTATGTCTATGCACCACATGCATGCCTGGTGCCCAAAGAGGCCTGAAAAGGACATTGGAACTCCTGGAACTAGAATACAGGTAGCTATGGGCTACGATTTAGATGCTAGGAATTGGACATGGGTCCTCTAAGAGCAGTCAGTCACCCTAGATGCTCAATCACTCCATCCCTGGTTCTCTTACTTTTTTGTTACATTTGTGGCTTGTCTACCACTTATCTATCTCAACTAAGGCTTATAAGGAGCTTGCCCTTCTGTTGCTGAGGCCTGGCTCACCTGGAGCTTGTTACTTAGCCCAGGCTGGCCTAGAAGTTGTTGCAGTTCTCCAGACTCCCCAAGCACTGGGATTACAGAGTGTACAACCACACCCAGCTTTATTTCCCAACAACTCCTTAAAAAAAAGACAAGAGTCTCATTCTGTAGCCCAGGCTTACAGCAGGATCTTTAAATCAGGATCCTCTTGCCTCAGCTTCCCACATTCTAGGATTATAGGCATGTTCTACCTACCACATTGTTCTCTAAAAACTTTAAAACAGTCAGCTGAACAAGTTGCAGGCTTTCAGCCACTTCCATCTAATTCCCACAGTTTAGGTCATCCAACAACAGCAGCAAAAATACTGGTTTTCATGGCCAATTCCACACTGATAAAACTTCCCAAAGAATGGGTTTGAAAGATGGCTCATTGGTTAAAAGCACTGATTGCTCTTGCAGAATTTCCAGATTCAATATTTAGCTCCACCCTGCCCCGTCACATGGAGGTTCGCAACCATCATAATTTCAATTCTAGGGAATCAATACCCTCTTCTGGCCTCTACAGGAACCAGGAGTTCACACAATAAATAAATACACATGCAGGCAAACATGCATACATATATAGTAAAAAATTTAAAAATAAGTAAACCTTAAAAAAATAAAAAATAAACTCAGATGTGCTTGGTAGCACACACCTTTAATCTTACCACTTGGGAGGCAGAGGCAGGTGGATCTCTGAGTTCAAGGCCAGCCTGGTCTACATAGTAAATTCCAGGACAGCTATATGTTGAGACCTTATCTTAAACAAATACAAAACATAAGACTTCTGTGAGCAGTTTTAGGCAAAAAGAAATCAGAGCTATAGTGTACACACCTTTAAGCCCAGCACACCAGTTCCAGGAGACCTGATGCTGTCTTCTGGTTTCTGGAGACACTGCACCATGAAAGTAGTGTAGACATACACACAGACAAGACACTCAGACACCTAAAATAATTTTGTAAAAAAAAATCCAACAATTGGTACTGAGGATTTAAAATTGTCTTTAAATATACTTACTTATGTTCAAGCGTTTTTGTTGGCATTTGTCTCTGTGTACTACCTTTGAAACTGGTGCAGAACTCAAAAAGATCCTATTAGATTCCATATATCCTTTAGAACTGGAGTTACAGATGTTTAAGAACCACTGTGTGAAAAAAAAAAATAAAAAATAAAAAAGCCGGGCGGTGGTGGCGCACGCCTTTAATCCCAGCACTTGGGAGGCAGAGGCAGGTGGATTTCTGAGTTCGAGGCCAGCCTGGTCTACAGAGTGAGTTCCAGGACAGCCGGGGCTACACAGAGAAACCCTGTCTCAAAAAACAAAACAAAACAAAAAACAAACAAACAAACAAACAAAAAAAGAACCACTGTGTGTGGATACTGAGAACCAAACCCAGGTTTTCTGCAAGAACAATAAATGCTCTTAACCATGGAGTTATGCCAGCTCACTATAGTCCTTAAATATCTGTCTGTCTACTTCCCATCCAAAACATGATTTCTCTGTGTAGCCTTGGCTATCCTGTAATCAATTGAATCCTGACATAAATTTATAGGAGCAAGAAAGTAAGAAAATTTGAAGACATCATCTAAAAAGAAAAATATAGCATTTATATTTTTGAGACAGTGTCTCACTATGTAGGCCAGGCTGGTCTTGAACTTGCAATACCCTTCTCTCTGCCTGGGATTACAGGTGTCACTAACACACCTGGCCCTATCATATTTAAAAGTCTGATAAAGGAGGATTGGAAAGATGGCTCAGCAGTTCAGATCATTGATTGCTCACTCTTTCAAGGACCTGGTGGGTTCATTTCCTAGAACCCACATAGTGGCCCACAACTATCTGTACCTCTAGTTCCAGGGAATACCATGCTCTCTTCTGACCTTTACAGGCACCAGCATGCACATGCTAGACATACATACATGTAGGCAAAAGAAACACATAAAATATGTAGATCAGGCTGGCATCAAACCCATAGAGATATGTATACCTCTACCTCCCAAATGCTGGGATTAAAGGCATACACCATCATACCACTTCCAGGTAAGTATTTATATAATCATTTATAAATTCTTATATAATCAGCAATATATTTGTTTTCTAAATGGGAAAAAATAAACTTGGTTTCTTGATTTATGCCATATACAAAGATAAAATCCAGAATTTAAAGAAAAAGTACAAATAAACAATATCAGGTCTGGAAGCATGGCTCATGTTAATGATTCTTGCCTCAAAGGCCTAAATCACCCCTGCAGAGCTCATGTGAATTTAAGAGCAAATAACAATAACTTAGCAGCTACCACTGAAGAGTACCATTTTAATCTTGGCTTAGAAGAGATTAAAACAAAACAAAAACCTATCAATGCACACTAACCTAGGAGTTAGACATAGAGAAAGAAAAAGCTTCATTTCCAAAAGATTCAAGAAAACAAAATAACAGATTTTGTTTGTAACAGTTTCTCTGTGCACCCCTGGAATTCATTCTGTAAACTAGTCTGGCCTCAGATACTGACTGCCAAGTGCTGAGACTATAAGCAGGCATCACCACTGCCACAGAGGTTTGTTTTGTTTGTTTGTTTTTTAAATTTCCACGTCTTGTCCTTGATAGTTATGCTTTTTGTCTGCTTTGTTTCTCTGTGGAGCCCTGGTTGTCCTGGAACCACAGATTGAGTTTGAGAATAGCTGGGCTAAATAAAGACACTGTTTCAAAAAAAAATTTTTTTAAAGAAAAAGCTTATGTTTAGCTAAAAAGAAGTTTCAATGTAAAAAAAAAAATCTAGTTTTTTTTTTTTTGGCTAGTTATAATGTTTCTAATGTTAAAGTTAGTAAAAAAAAAAAATTGTACAGGAGTGATGGCACACATCTTTGATCCCAGCCTCAGGAAGCAGATTCAGGCAGATCTCTGAGGTCTACAAGTTGCTCCAGAATAGCCAGAAGCAACACAGTGAGGTCCTGTCTTAAAAACAAAAAAACCCAGCCGGGCAGTGGTGGCGCACGCCTTTAATCCCAGCACTTGGGAGGCAGAGGCAGGCAGATTTCTGAGTTCGAGGCCACCTTGGCCACCTGGTCTACCTTCCAGGACAGCCAGGACTACACAGGAAAAGCCTGTCTCAGAAAACAAAACAAAAAAACCTATTTGGCCAGAGTGCAATTTATTTCCTGAATTACTGAGTTAGTGTTCTTGTACTTATGAAAAACAGTTATCTTACTTTTAAACAATTATGTTTTGGCAATCTGAGCTATCTTTTTCTAGAAATGCTACTGGAATTATCTCTATTTCCTCAATAATAAAATCTTTTCTTTTTGGGTCTAACTCTAATTTATTAAATCTTGTTTTGGAAATGAAAAAAATATTTAATGAAGGGGCTGATGAAATACCTCAGTGGGTAAAAGCCTGCTGCCAAGCCTGAGACCTTGACTTGGAGTCATAGAACCCACACTGTGAAAAGAACCAACTCCCACATGTTGTCCTGATTTCTACATGAGCATACTACCTCTGCTGTACAGAAAATAAAACCGTAAGCCAAGATAATTTTTGAAGCCTTGGATGGGTCTGTAAATTAAAAGAACCTTGACAAAACCAAGATGGAGACCTTTAGCATAAATAAAGGCTTTATTGGTCAGTTTGGATGAATGACAGACTGGCATAAGCTCAATTGTTTCACATATTTAAGACCCCAGGATGACAGACAATGGGCAACAGGAAGGGAGTGGGAAAGACCTGAAGGCTTCTGAAGTTTAAGGAAGCTATCGGGACCGAAACCAGCGTCCTAGGAGCAAATCCAGGATGGAAAAGGGATCATCCAGAGCTGGGGATGTCTGAGAGGCTGGATCTAAGGAAGAAAGTCATACCAACAAGAGAGAAAAATTATCAAAAGGTAGGCATATGTTTTTCCTCAAAAAGTTAAGAGATGGGTCTTTTGAGTCATACTCTTTAACGTACCACTTCTGGAACTGTCATGGGCTTCTTGATGGGTCACTGTGGTCTCTCTCCGGCCCTCACTGTCTACCACAGTGCGGTGTTCCTCCACTGTCTGCAAGAGAAGTCTCAACATATTCCTAACAGCACTATGTTGAGTTTAGTATTTTCTTATACTGGTCCCTTTCCCCAGAGCATTATATGGTTAGTTGTTTTTAACTTCTCTCTTAACTCACCCCATCTGGCTTAGTGATCTTGGTCACAGAGATGCTTTTGAAATACGATTTGGGCTGGGGTTGAAGAAGTGGACCCAAACCTTCCTGGGAAACCTGGGAGTCAAGATCTGGAAGGGCAGAGAGATGACAAGCCAGGAGACAGTGGAGAGAAGAAAATTAGACAAGTGTTTCAGAAAGAAACTTCTGAGAGAACTTCAGGAGCTTGGCTAGACTCACCTTTATCTTCTTTGGCTCTAGAATGGGGACTCACAGGCCATGTATCATCCAACTGTAGAAGAAGCCACATACAATTGGTGATCTTTTTGTTGTTGTTGTTTTTCAAGACAAGGTTTCTCTGTGTAGTCCGGGCTGTCCTGGAACTCACTCTGTAGACCAGACTGGCCTCGAACTCAGAAATCCACCTGCCTCTGCCTCCCAAGTGCTGGGATTAAAGGTGTGCGCCACCATTGCCTGGCGACACTTTCCAATCTTAATCTTGAAGGTCAGAGAACCCATACTCTCCACTAGTTCCAGAACCCCAGAAATACTTCCATTTGGGCAGCTTCTGTTCACACACCTTCTTCCTTAGTTTTATATGGACTTCTACCAAAAAGAATTCCTGAAATTCTTTCTTGCACTTTTAAGATTCTTTCTTAGCCGGGCGATGGTGGCGCACGCCTTTAATCCCAGCACTTGGGAGGCAGAGGCAGGCGGATTTCTGAGTTCAAGGCCAGCCTGGTCTACAGAGTGAGTTCCAGGACAGCCAGGGCTATACAGAGAAACCCTGTCTCGAAAAACCAAAAAAAAAAAAAAAAAAAAAAAAAAAAAAAAAAAAAGATTCTTTCTTAACCAAGAATTGAAACTAGTAATTAAAAAAAAAAAAAGCAGCCCAGTATTTCCATTTTTCCCTTTGTATTCTATTCCAGTTCTAATATTGCAAAAAGAAAACAGAAGCAATGGGGTTGGAAAGAAGGCTCACAGGTTAAGAACACATGGTGCTCCACTAGAGGACATCAAGCAGCTCAGAGCTCCAGGGGAGACCACATCTCATCACTGCAAGCACCTGCACCCACAGGGCACATACAAAAGCACACAGACACATACATCCACAACATAAATAAATCTTAAAAACAACAAACAATAGCAACAAAATCCCAACTAACAAACTCAGAGGCAGGCAGTTCCCTGAGTTTGACACTAGCCTGGTCTACATAGCAAGTTCCAGGTCAGTCAATACCACAGAAGCCCTGCCTCAAAATACATAACCACACAAATACATACAATAAGAAGAGAGTGGAGGGGACACTCTTTTAGAAGACCATACTTTATAGTTCCCAGCAAGAGCATGGTGGCTCATAACCATACATTGAGTTCCAGTGGATTCAATATCCTTCTTTTACCTCTGTGGGCACAAGGTACATGTAGTAGAGACATTCAAGCAGGCAAAACACTCATCATAAATCTTAGACTAGGTGTGGTGGCACACATTTAATCCAGAGGCAGGGGCATGCAGATCTCTAAATCTACTCAGTGAAGTAAGTTTCAAAACAAAAATTCCAGAGTCGGGCAGTGGTGGCGCACGCCTTTAATCCCAGCACTTGGGAGGCAGAGGCAGGTGGATTTCTGAGTTTGAGGCCACCCTGGTCTACAGAATGAGTTCCAAGACAGCCAGGGCTATACAGAGGTACCCTGTCTCGAAATCCCCACCCCAAAAAGAAAAAAAGAAATCCAAAACAAAAATCCCAATAAAGAACAAAATCCAGATAAATGCACTAATCCAAATCAACTATTAAGAGATTCCAATAAGGATTTATAGGTCAGGTGTATTGTACTCACCCTATGAAAAGGTCCCTGGGACCCCCAATCTGGAGCTGGTTTGGGGGATTCAGGTTTTGTATGACTCTCCAAGACCCCCTCAAAGATCCTGGGCTGGTGACTATCTGGGTACTTGAGCATTGAGTCTCGTAGTGTCTGCCCCTCCCGCAGTCTCTCACCAGGTGTTTCTGACTCAGGACCTGGAAGTTCTGTACAAAGTTGGTAGGTGATTCTGGGATAGGAAAGGCCTTACAACACTTTTAATCTTTTTAAAATCATTTTCTGTAGACATATCCAGCTACTCTGCAAGTTCTGTTATTCATCACTAACCCACTAGATACCCATAGGTTCACCCTCAAGGAAATTCACACACCAGGAGAGTGGGACGGCAAGGTCCAGGCCCCCATCTCGCTGAAGATGCTATTAAAATCTCGTACTAGATCATCAAAGCCAAAGTTGCCGTGGAATCGCATCCCTCCTCTGGGGCTGAAGCTGAAACCGAATTCCTCTGGAGGCTGAGAACCATCAAACGAATAGCTCTCTCGACCCCACGCGCCCCTGTCTTCCTCCTCTTCGTCGTCATCATCATCGTCGTCATCTCGAGTCATCCCTCCAAAAAAAGGATCTCTGTGGCTGAGAGTGGAGGCAGATAAGCCGCGGAAGACTTCAACACTGTCTAAGCCAAAAAAAACCAACCCAAGGGCAGTAAAATGGGCCAAAGAGGGTTCTGGCAGCTGAAGAAAGCACTGGAGATCTGGTTTCAAAACAACGCCGATGGATCTATTAGGGTTTTGTATTGTCTCTAAACAGAGCCTCTCCGCACCTCCCAACAGCTCCCAAACGACCCCCCATGGTTTTTCTTCAGGGTCATCCTGCCCACTACTTATGCCCACTGCTCATGGTCCTCTTCCCCATACCCCATTGTCTTCTCCGCCCAGGTCCCTGTTGCATCACCCCAGTCTGGAGAAAGGTGCCGTTTCTGTCCTCTTAAGCACTGCTTTGATTGCTGTGGCGGGGTGAGTACTCAAGAATGCGATCTTTGACCTCTCAGCAGGACTTGAAGGGAGCGGGAAAGGAAGCTTTCCAAAAATATGACGAAGGGGTCGAGTGTCCACCAAAACACCCCTCCCTTATGCCCAGCCCACAGCTATTCTCACCTCCGAGGTCCAGGAAAGCCGAAAAAGCCTCGGAAAAGATCAAAGACGCTCATTCCTGTAGGGGCACTAGAAACTTTGATCATCTGCAGCCCATGGGCAACACGAGACCACCGCCCGCTTACGCTACCCTGTCGGATATAGTCAGGGCTTAGCGCTCACTGCCGGAAAGCAAGCCTACGATGCGGCACTGTCGTAAAAGCTGTAACCCGGAGGAGGAAGAGGCGGGGCTGACGGCGCTCTTCAGACTTGAAACTTCTATACGCTACCTTTCAGTTTTGAGTGAGGGTGGACGTACGAAACCCCCACTGTCCAAGGATCACATCCCTTCTAGGTGATTCTTGCCCCTGCCGATCTGTCAGGCCCAAGGGGTGTTTCCGTTTCTCCCTGGAGCGTCCCAGGTAGCCGCCAGAGGGAGTGGCCTGTTCACTCGGAGGCCTGGTTCACTCCAGTATCAGAAAACACCTCCCACCTTGTGTTTTGTTTCTAGACTGAGGTCGGTGACGTCTAATACTAGGTTAGGCAAAGTGTTTTACCAAGTTCCTAACACCGCGATTTCCCTACAGCTGAATAAAGATGCTAGGAATCTCTTCAGCAAGTAGGGAGAGTTTTTAAACTTGTTTTTTTCGACACAGGGTTTGTGTGTGTAGCTCTGGCTGCCCTGGAGCTCCATTGTAGACCAAGGGGGCCACAAATTCAACGACCTGCCTGTCTCCCAAGTGCCGAGATTGAAGGCGGTTGCCACCATACACTGCTTTAATTTAAAAAACTAAACAGATGGCAACCAATAAGGTAAGGTTCGTAGACTAGGCAGAAATGAGAAGCTACTTAACCTGTCTTGGAAAGACCATGCAATTAGGAAATTTGATGGTGCTCGTCTTTAATCCACGAGGAGGGAGGTATGATGCCAGCCTGCTTAACACAGAGTTTCTGGCAAGCCAGGGCTACACAGTGAGACTCTGACTCAAAAAGTAAACAGACCTTCCTTCCCACTCCAGCACAGAGGAATGGTTGAAGTTTTGGAAGGCTGAAACAGGATCTCAAAAATGAAACTTCTCTTTCATGTAGTTAAGTCCAAAACCTTTTACTGCATCATGTCCCCACCCCAGGTCTTGCTCTACCATCATCATCCCCTCCTTTCCCCAAACTTAGGCATTTCAAAACTACATAAAATAGGCAAGGCAAGGTGTAGTGCTGAGAACCTTTAACCTTAGCACTCAAGAGGTAGAGGCAGGCAGATCTCTGAATGTGAGACCATTTTGGGCTCCACACCAAGTTCCAGGCCACTCAGGGTTACATAGTGAGACTGTCTCAAAAACGTAACTCAGACAACAAGAACTACTATACTCCTCCAAACAGAAAAAGGACCTAAGATTTAGTTCTGCCAGCCAGCAGCTAATGCTGGCTGCAGATTCAGAATCCTTTAAAATGCTTAGACTCCCACAAGGTCTTTTTTTCCTCTTAAATGTCCTTAGCTCCTTCCCCTTTCACTTCCTGAAACTTGCTGTAGATGAGGCAGTTTCTAGAAGAAATGAAGATTTGTAGTGGTTCTTTTCAGTCACAGGATATAAAAGGGAATCCCCTTAAGGGCAAAATATTAGCACATTAAGGTGAGAGTTCTTAAAGGGCAAAGATTTCACTTTATTCCACAGCCTTCGAGCCTGCTACAAGAGGCCCAGTTGGTACGGGAATACTTATTCACCAAGCTGGTCATCGACGAGAGTGAGGATATCCTAGACGGAGCAAGAATGGGCAGAGGCTGAAGGTAGAGGTTTGTTTTTTTTTTCTCCTTTTTTTTATATATATATGTATATATATATATATACAAGACACATTTATCCATTAAATTTGAGGACACAGTACAAAAAAAACACTTCAACTAATCAATCTGACAATGCTGTTCATATTTATGACGCCATTTTTTTTAGTGTGTATGTATGTATGTGTGTGTGTGTGTGTGTGTGTGTGCATGTGTTTTGTTTGGTTTTCCTAATAATAAAGGAGGAGACTTAGGGCTGTTGGGCTGATATATATTTGGGGAGGAAGGGGTTTCACCTTCCCACCTCACCCATACACCACCAGGGTGAACAGGAAGAAGTGAAGGAAAGGCAGGGCCCACAGCAAAGTTTCATAATCTTGAATGCAAAGAGAAAGGAGGAAGAGGAGGGGAGGGGAAGAAAATACAAATCCTATAATACATACAACAGGGCATAGGAATGGTATAGGGATGGGACAGACATGAAGCTGAGGTGTGGGATGGGCCGCTGGGGGTGTGGAGCAGCGGAATCACCCCACATTCTTTTCTCTCTTTGATGCTGTTTCCATAGTTTCCAGGCTGAGAAGCCCTCTCAGAAGATGGGACAGGAGAAGAGGGTCAGGGCCTCAGTTGGCCCCCCAGCTGTAGCTGTTGTAGGCAGACTTGTTGGTCTGGGGCTTCTGCGGGATGGAGCTGGTCTGGCTACGTTGCCCGCTGCCCGTCTGCAGGGGAATGGGAGGGTTATGGGGGAGGAAAAAGGTGTCTAGTTAGTGGGACCAATCCGTAACATCTTCAAGTGGAAATGTGCAAATAGTCATGCTCTCTCGTTTCTTTTACTTAGAACCTACTATGAAGTTTACTTTTCAAGCACAGAAAATTTGGTCTACATAGCCTCTTTTACAAGGTGACATTTTTTTTTAACCTTAAAGTAGAGGAAATTGAAAAGTGGACATGAAAACTTTGGAGATAAGATGGTGAGTTGATTCTGTTCTTTTCAGTTGTCTTCCCCACTACCCACTGCCCTGGTCTAAAGAAAAAAAAAAAAAAAAAAAAAAAAGCAACTATGAGAATTCTGACCTTTTCAAAATGAGTGATCACAAGGTGATTACATTCTCACTCATCTCTGTGAATGCCAAAACATAGAAAGCTATCTTTGAGAGCAAAAAAGCCCTATTTTAGTTGACCAGCCACCTATGCTGGGGATCTTAAGAGGTCTCTTTTACCACCCTTCAGATCCACCCACCACCACACATTAATTAATGTGAAACCAATTCAAAGCCACAAAGACCTGAGGCATCAGGCTCCAGATGCTGTCCCAAGAATCTTTTCCATTCTAGTAACCAAGTGTTTTCCAGAGTTGGGGAGGGTAGAAAGATAAAGAGGGTGTTGAGGTGGGGAAGGAAGAAAGAGAGGATGGGGAGGCCAGAGGGCTTAGCATAGTGTTTCTGTTTGTGTATCCCGATTTGTGATTGGGTAAACTTTAAGTTATCTGAGGCTGTGGAGGTGAAATGGGGACTAAAAAGGTTGGTTCAAGCATATCATCATTCAGTTTCATTACCTGCTCCTCCTGCTGGCGCTGGCAACAGAGAATCATCTGCAAATATGGTAGCTGAGGCAGAACCAGGATATATGGAAAATAAAGGGACAAACTTTTGACAATAGAACTCCACTGTTAGAAGGGAAAGCTATAATGTCAGGGAAGGGAGAAGGCTGGGAGAGGTTAGAGGGAAGGTGTGACCCAGGTCTGACAGGATGAGGACAACTGTGCAATGGAAGGTGGAAGAGAAAGGTACCAAAGGAACTGGACAAAAGGGTTTCACTCTGGCCCATTCTTTCATGTTTCCTTTGCTAACTGCTCCTGTTATGTGCGCTTGTGTCTGTATGTGCTGTGTGCCCCTGGCTGGCACTGGTGAGGGCTGGGTGAAGGTGGTGGTAAGGAAGGTTAAGAAAAGGAAAAGGGAGGTAGTTTTAAGGGATAGGAAGGAAGAGGAAGGGAAAGGAGAGAGGGGGGAAGGGCTGTTACCTGGCCATCCTGCTGCAGGTGATGGTGAAGGATCTGAGAGTGTGGCTGCTGATGTGGGGTCAGAATATGCATAAAGGGGGCAGGTGGATAGGCAGCAGCTGTGGCTGGATTGATGGGCCCTCCACTTCCTAGAGCTGAAGGCAAGTTGAAGGAGGCAGCAGGAGTACCGGAATGAAACCCTTGTTTCTCAAAGGACTGCTATCCCAGGAGAACAGGAGGGAAAATAGTAAAACGTGGTCATTAGAAGAATCCTAGGACTTTCTGAGGACAGATACCCTTATCCTCAGAAAGTAGCATGGTCAGAATCAATAGTATACCTCAAGTCAGATATTCAAAAGTCTTAGTTCTAGCTCTGCCTTTTTATAACTCCATGATCCTAGGCAAATTAACTATATAACTTCAGTTTCCCCATAAATAAAAGAAATATTGCTGAGCTCTTGCTGTAAGGATCAAGCAGGAAGAGTATGCTGTGAAATCTTATATTGACCAGCCACAATGGTATATACCTTTAATCCCAATCATTTGGGAAGCAGGTGGGTCTTTTGAGTTTGAGACTAGTCTGGTCTACACAATGAGTTCCAGGTCAGCTAGGACTACAAAATGAAACCCTTCTTCAAAATAAATAAGTAAAAATAATTTCATGAGAATATAGAGAAGTTTGCTCACTAGCAACATCTGCCTCTGTAGTTTAGCATAAATCCAAACTCCTTAGATATTTTAAATGAAATGACGATCTTGTTGGACACAAAAATGACAGACAACAGACATATCTGTAGATAACTCAGAAACAAATACTTCACTTCATTCCCACTTTTGGTTATGGACTTACAAAGAATGAAACTAACTAGTTTCACTTCATTCTGGTATTTATTCTCTTGCAAAGTTGCAAAAATGGTAGTAAGTAGGTAGGTCAAGGGGCCAGCACCACTGTACATTAAGAAGTATCACATTACAATTTACCACACTTGCCCTTGACATTTTCAATTTTTTTTCCCCTCAGAGGGCTAAATTTAAAGTTCTAAAGAAATTGAAGCCTAGGGACAATTTGTTTTAGAAAAGATAGGGCAGGTTCCTGACAGCTCTCCTGAGGGTTGTTCTAACTTCAACTCTACCTCTTCTATGTTCATCCATCCCTTTCTACTTTCATCCAGACCAGATACCTACCTGGGTTTTGGAGTACACAGAACCCGAGATATCTGGCACGCCCGTGTTACTGGAGGTGACTGATACACCTAGTGGAGGAGGAAAGAGAGGATTAGCTCTGTTATCAGCCTAGTCTCTGTTCCTAGAACATAGTGATGTCTGCAGCTTTTCTAGCTATGGCACTGTAAAGGAATTTTGGTATAATTTTTCCACTTTTACATCAGTTCTGAGATGTCGGAATTCATAACACAAATGCTGCCT